TTTATTTTTGAGAGACAGAGAGACAGAGCACAAGCAGGGGATGGGCAGAGAGAGAGGGAGTCACAGAATCCAAAGCAGTCTCCAGGCTCTGAGCTGTCAGCACAGAGCCTGGTGCAGGGGCTCAAACCCATGAACGGACATCATGATCTGAGCTGAATTTGGATGTTCAACCAACTGAGCCACCCAAGCGCCTCCTCATCCCCTGAAGTATTTAGAAGTCGATGGACATGATGTCTGCAACTTATTCCAAATGGTTGAGGGAAAAATACATATGCACACACACACAACACAAATGTAGCAAATTATTAACAATTGGGGAATTCAGGTGAAGGATAAGGAGTTTTCTGTACTATTCTTGCAGCTCTTCTTTAAGTTTAAAAGTTATTTCAAAAAAATTGTGTGTGTGTGTGTGTGTTTTAGTTCCTTCTGGCTCCTTTCCTGATGCTTAAAAAACTTTTTTCTCTTCCCCCTCCCACTCACAATCTGGATTCCTTATTGGGCCAGAGTGCATATATTCTCAAACTTTTCTGGTGAAATGGCGAGGGGGAGATGAAAATTAGAACCATTTATAATGAAAATGAATGACTGTTCTGAGCAGTTGTGGAGGAAATGCTGCTCTTCTGTTCTGTTGCAGGGTCTGCCCCACCTCCCTTGTCCTGGAGAGAAAGGGAAGATTTTAGTCACAGGAATCTTGTCATCATTATTTCATCTTCATTCGGTCATTGGTAGCTGAGAGGAAAGGGGAAAATCACAAAGGTAGCAAGAGGGACCTGTATCCACACTGTGTATCAACCCCTCCCTGCTTTCTCTTTCTTTTCAAGTTCTTATTTAAATTCTAGTTAGTTAACATACAGCACAATATTAGTTTCAGGAGTAGAATTCAGTGATTCATTACTTACATACAGTACCCAGTGTTCATCCCAAGTGCCTTCCTTGGTACTCATCATCCATCTAGCCTATCCCCTGACCCACTCCCTCCATCAGCCCTCAGTTCTCTGTCTTCAAGAGTCACTAACCCATCCCTAGAGAAACCTGGGTGGCTCTGTCAGTTGAGCTTTCTTTTGCCAACACAGAGCCTGCTTCAGATCCTCTGTCCCCCTCTCTCTGCCCCTCCCTCACTGTGCTTGTGCTCTCTTTCTCTCTCATTAAAAATTTAAAAAAAGATTTGCAACAACATGGATGAACTAGAGGGGATTATGCTAAGTGAAATTAGAGAAAGACAAGTATCAAATATCATATTTCACTCATATGTGGAATTTAGGATACAAACCAGATGAACATAAGGGAAGCAAAAATAATGTAAAAATGGGAGGGGGACAAAACATAGGAGACTCTTAACTTCAGAGAACATACTGAGGGTTGCTGGAGGGGCTGTAGGTGGGGGAATGGGCTAAATGGGTGATGGACATTAAGGAGGACAATTGTTGGGATGAGCACTGGGTATTATACAATGAATCAATGGAATCTACTCCTGAAGTCATTATTGCACTATATGCTAACTAACTTGGATATAAATTTAAAAATTAAAAAAAAAAAATTCAAAAAAGAAAGAACAAAAAGTCTCTAGCCCCTTCCTTCTTAAAAGACCAGAACGTGCAAATGTGTATGGGATCTCTCATATAGGTGGACCTATCAAGCTAACCTGAGACCATTTTTTTTTCTTTCAAAAAAAAAACCTTTTCATTTTTATGTATTTATTTTTAGTAATCTCTATACGAAATGTGGAGCTCAGACTCAAGACCCTGAGGTCAAGACTTGCATGCCCTACCAACTGAGCCGGCCAAGCACCAAGACCATTTTCCTATGAATGTATACTTATTTATTTTTTTAGTAATCTCTACACCCATCGTAGGGCTCGAACTCATGACTCCAGGATCAAGAGTCGCATGCTCTTCCTTTTTTTTCTTAATGTTTATTTATAAGAGAGAGAAAGAGAGAGAGAGACAGAACACAAAAGGGGGAGGGGCAGAGATAGAGGGAGACACAGAATCTGAAGCAGGCTCCACGTGAGCTGTCAGCGCAGAGCCCTATGTGAGACTGGAACTCACGAACGGTGAGATTATGACCTGTACTGAAGGAGACACTTAACCAACTAGGCCACCCAGACCTCATGAGTCGCATGCTCTTCCAATTCAGCCAGTCAGGTGCCCCACGTTTTCTTATTTAAACACTTCCCATTGGACTATTGTGCGGTTAAATTTCTTTAATATGCAGAGTAATACTAGTACAATACAGAAAAAGCAGCCTAGTCCCCACATCCTTTGTTGTAATTCCAGTATTTACAGTAGACAAGTGGATATTCCAATCCAGAGATTAGGTACAGATTTCAGTTACAAAGAGGCAAACATCAGCATTGGCTGTCAAAGGACATTTCCCTAAAGGAGCACAGCAGAGGAGGAATATATAGACAAAAACTGTACTGAAAACAGATTCCTCGACAAGCTATCAAATTCATAGTCAAGGAGAAACAAGCCACAATGTTAGTAACAAAGCAGCATTCAGTAGGTGACGAGTCAAAGCTGTACACAGTTTACCATAGACAGAGCTTGGGAGACTGGGGGCATAGAAGGCCTAAGGTCCGAAGTCGGCCCACACCCCAGCAACCCACCCACCCGCCAGGTCCCTGTAGTTTACAATTGGATCTGTTCATTACGAGGACCCTACCCACCATAGGCCCTATTCTAAAGAATAGTTTCTCCTAGATTTTCATGTGTGTGTGCGTCTACGTCAGGGGGCATCAGTAGTCTATAAAACTGGCTGCCTCCCAACTCCAGTGACAAAAAAGGAAGCATAGGCCTCTCAGTTTCACAAAAGATAAACCCGAAAGGCTAAGTCCCAGGCAATTGTGGCATATGAAAAATGTGCCCCAGTGTTCCACCCCTCCTCCAACTCTGCATTCTTTTGTTTGAATTCGCTTGTGTCTCTCTATACTGTGAACAGTGAATGCCCAGTGTTGGCTCAAAGTGCTCTTGGAGGGATTCAAATTTTGTCAGGAATCACAGTCTTATAACTAAAAGAATCAACTGTCTTTCCAGAGCTGGTAGAGCAGGTTTGCTCATGAAGTCACACCCTGTTGGCATCACGTAGGCCTGGGAGCCTCTCTCCTAGAGAACTGAGCCAATTACTTCATATTCTCTATGAAATTCTTGGCGGGTATCAACCTGCCCTTCACAAAGTCTCAGCAGCTACATTGCTTCTGAAATGTTTCATCTCAACATCAAGTCCCCACAAGGCTGGGGGAGAGGCCTGGGTGCACCTGTTTGTCTTGCCCTGAAGCCTTCTTGGGATTTGGTGTAACAGGCTGATTCCTCCCTCAGTGGGAGATGGAAGTTCTTTTATATTCCAGTCCACATGGAATTCCCAGGACAACGAAAGCAGCTATTTTTACATCCCCTTAGCAAATGAGGCTGAATCACGACTGGCCTGCAGTAAGTGAAGTCTGGAGACGTTAACATGGCTGCAGCTGTCACCGACGGGTTAGATTCTGTCTGACAGGAGAGCTTCGTCTCTAAAACCCGGCCTACTACACTGCCGTTTGATTAATTGTAAGCACTTCTATAGTTTCAAGTCCCTGCACATTGGTTTATTCTCAGAATTTTCAAAAAGAAATTGTTTATGTACACTTTATATATACAGAAGAGAAATTCCAATCAAATTTAGGTTTTGGTCATTTTGATACTCTAATGTAAGTTGTGTTGATAACTTTTATTTTTACATGTTACTGTGATCTACATTTTGTTCTTAAAGATGAGGCTTTCATTTTTAATGAGTGTCGCCAGGTTCGCTGAACCTTAACTGTACTTTTCTGAACTACTCATCTTTGATGGTGAATTTGGAGAGGAACGAATAAGTCGTTTCTGAGCCATGATGCAAAAGACCTATAAAAAAAAAGAAGAAAGAATTCCTTTCCCCTGCCGTCCCTCCAAATAGCACTCCTGGCTGGAGGCTGCATGATGACCTTGAGCCCGGCTGTGACCCGCCTGTGGGTGAGGAAGATTGGGGGCTGGCAAAAGAGTTTTGGAAGAAGCCCAAAAGCATGCAGTGAAACCAATTTGTTTTCTACAGTTTGCGTCAGGTTTGCCTTGTGAAGAGATCAGAAAGTAAGGTCTCTGAAAACAGTGAAAAGAATTGTGATTAAATAGCCCAGAGAAGATCTTTATGCATAAACAGAGCATGAATAAATAGGCCCTAATGGTCACAAATAAGAATACGCAATATCTGTTTAGATGAAAGGAAGAAAATCCCACTATTAAACACCAAAACAGTGGCAGAAGCTTGATCTTCCTCATTAGCGGAGCAGAGGCCCTTCTGTAGGACTGGGTGGGATCGGGCTTCGGTGTTCCTCCAGACCCAGGATTCTAAAGGGCAGGATGGTTCCACAGGGACCAGGAGGATTTCAGTGGGTCTGAGGAATTGGCATCAGTTGTGAGCGCTTCACTCAGATGTAGGAACAGAAAAACATACAACAGTACAGAACACACAACACCTGCACGATACCTATCGGTTTATAAAGAAAATGAGTCTTAGAAGCCAGTTGAATATCACTCTTCTTAACAGGTGACATTGACTGACAGTCTCCTGGTTCTCACTGGTAGGAGACAGCCCCACAGACACAAATATTGCACTCAACCTCAATACAGGTTTCCACCCAGTCCCCGCTGCTCTGCAAAGGTTAGGGAACCAAAGTTCCCCAAGTCACTGTTCACTGGCCCAGCGTTCCTCCCCCCTGTGAGGGGACACCAGTCTGTATCCTCACTTCAACAACAGCAAACTCCAGTGGCCTCAGGTGGCCTTGTTGATGGATAAGAATCACTCAACATGGCAGCACTTGTGGCAGCAGCCATGACTCCTCCCTTTCGGTGACAGATCTCAAGCCTCTACAAAGTCCTCAGTGCTCAAATGATACATGTTCTGTTTTGAAAACAAAGAAGCCAGGATCAGCTCACCCGTCCTCAGAGGAAATTGACCTTGGTTACGCTTTTGAGAGGAGCTGTTATTTTTCAGGAGAGCTTGCTGTTTCCCTGCCAGTACGACTTCTCTTCTACTTTTTTCTTCTTCCAGCGGCAGAGAAGCAGCATCTTAAAGGTCTTCCTGAAGGTTCTGTTGCAGAGGGCATAGCAAATGGGGTTGACAGTGCTGTTGACATAGCACAGCCAGTAGCCCAGGTGCCACAGGGTGACTGGGACACACTTGTCACAGAAGGTGGAAACCAGGACCATGATGTTATAAGGGGTCCAGGTGATGATGAAGGCCAGGAGGATGGCACTCAAGGTCTGGGCTGCTTTCCTCTCCTTGACAAGGACCATTCTCTTTCGTTTGGTCATTTGGTGGCTGAGGTTGGGATCCAGGCCTTTCGCTGAAGGGTCCTTGGACACTGGGAAGGAGCAGGGCATGATTTTCACCTTGTGACAGCCATTGTTGGTCTCCTGGGTCCCATCAGCTTTTACCACCAATCGGAACTTGTAGGCCACACATTTCTGACTCCTCGATCTATGAGCAGCACCTGGGGACAAGAAGTATTTTTGGGTGTCATAGTCCTTTTTTTCAGTGTGAGCTTTCACAAAAGTTTCCTTGGTCTCTTCAGCACTGAATTCCTCCCTTGGGCTTTCCTGGGCCTGACTCTTGTAGACTACTTGGAAGACAGGGTCAGTGGTGGGCTTGTCCTCATCCTCTGAGGAAGGGTAGCTGCTACAGGTAGTGAGCTGCTCGGCTTTGGCCCACTCGGTGCTTGGGTCGGTGGCTTGGGATGGCTTCCCAGTGGTGGAGGTGCTCCTGCGGGAGGAGGACCAGGAGGCTTGGCTCCTTTCCCTCTGGGCCAGCGTGGGTTGAGGGCAGCTAAAGCAGGACCTCAGCAGAGCCTTATGAGCTGGCTTTCTTGGCTCGGCTTCAGCCATGGAGTCAGAGCCCTGGAGGTCAGCCAGGTCCTTGGTTCGCTTCTCTGTTTCCCGGTAGATACGGCAGTAGAGGATCGTCATGACAGAAACAGGGATGTAGAAGGCAGCGATGGCAGTGCCAAAAGTGATGGTGGGCTCAGAGAGGAACTGGATCTGGCACTCATCTGGTGGCACTGTCCGCTCCCCAACCAGGTACTGCCAGCAGAGGATCGCCGGGGCCCAAAGGATGAAGGAGATTAGCCAGGCCAGGCCAATCATGATGCCAGCCCTTTTCGGTGTACGCTTGGCCCGATAGGTCAGAGGTCTTGTGATAGAAAAGTAACGGTCAAAACTGATCACCAGAAGGTTCATGACGGAAGCATTGCTAGCCACGTAGTCCAGTGCGAGCCAGAGGTCACAAGCCAGACTCCCGAGCACCCAGCGTCCCATGAGGATGTAGGTAGTGTAGAGGTTCATGGAGAAGATCCCAATGATGAGATCTGCACAGGCTAAGCTGAGCAGGTAATAGTTGTTCACTGTCTTCAGCTGACTATTGACCTTGAAGGAGATCATGACAAAGACGTTGCCCACAATGGTGATCAGGCTTACCACAGCAGTCACAGCTGCAATGGTGATGACTTCCCACAACCCATGACGTTCCAAAGGCTGGTGATTTACTGGGGTGTCATTGACAATCGTTGTATTGTGGTTAGATTCCCCTTCCATCCTGGCGCAAGAATTTACATTAGGATTAAGTCTTGGGTCCTAGACCATCTCTTTCCTGTCTCACCTCTTCTTGGCCAGCATCTGGAAGAGAGGGAACTACATTAGCTCCATTCACCATGGATTTTTCCCCTCACGCATTGTTTTCAGTTACAACAGAATATTAAATGTTGCCACACACATATTCAGAGCAAGATGGTGAAATCTCTGAAGTTCTGATAACATTTTTGTAACCGCATCATCCCTTTGCTTATTAGTACCAGTGCCTGAGAGCCTTTTTTTGTACTTGAAGCTGTTGCCCTCTTGTGGTTGCAGAAGGCAATTTAAAGAAGAAGGCTGGGAAGACGAGGGGGAAGGGAAAGGAAATTGGACCATTTGGGAGTAATAAAGAGAAGAAAGCAGGTGATGTGAAGTTACTTTACATTGCAACGCCTTCTAGGGCAGAAGTTCTTAATTTTTTTTTTTAAACTCCAAGTGATAAGTACCTATTCTATGCACTGGGGAAAGAGACAAGTATCTACCTTGTATTCCGATTACTAAACATTACTGAGTTTAGTTATAACTTCAATTATTAAACATTATTGAGGTACTGTTGTGAGCCAAGACTGCATTATGACACTTCTCCCCGACTTACTGTACAAACTCTTCTTGCACGCACCTCATTTTCATCTAGAGGGTTTGAAATCTGACCCAGCTGCTGTTGTCGACTCCTCTATCTATTCTTAAGCTATTTGTGATGTAACAGAAATGTTTTAAATTATCTTATTTTCTGATTACAAAGTAATATTTTGTTGTAAAAGTTCAAGCAATGTCAAAATGTATAGCTTAGAAACAGGCCTCCTCTGACTCCATCTTGCAAAGGTAATCAATACTTTCTCCTTTGCACATGTTAACAAACAGTTAAATACAATTATTTTTAAGTGGGTGACTTTTTAAAAAGTTTATTTATTTTTGAGAGAGAGAGAGAGAGAGAGTGAGCGAGTGTGGGGTTGGACAGAGAGAGCGAAAGAGAGAGTAAGTATGTCAAGCAGGCACTATGCCATCAGCACAGAGGCCAACTCAGGGCTCAATCTCACAAACCATGAAATCAGGACCTGAGCTGAAATCAACAGTCAGAGGATTAACCAATTTAGCCACCTAGGAGCCCCTAAATGGGTGACTTCTGAATGTTTGCGCTCTGAATTTTGTTTTTTACCTAACAACTCATCATGTAAATCTTTTTTTTTTTTTTTTAAGATATATTGTTTTTTAAGTAATGTCTTCACCCAAAGTGGGGCTTGAACTCACGACCCCAAGATCAATAGTTGCATGCATGTTCCTCTGACTGAGCCAGTCAGGGGCCCCTCAAAAATACTATTTTAATTACAAAATTCCAGGCACCATGATGTGATGAAGAGAGAGTCTTCTTGATGACCCTCAAAGCATGGCATGTGGGCAATCAATGCTCTGCCTACTGGCCAGTCCTGACTCTTCTCTGATAACAGTAATTGTTATAAAGATGACAAATTTGTGAACGGTTCTGGATTTTCTTGGCTTTGTTTTATATTTCAATTGCATTTTTAGATGTTTTTTCTGATGCCTCAAATCCAGTATGGAATTGAATTGATGATATTGTCTTGTACTAGAAACTAGATTCTTCTGACTTTCTGATCTTGCACCTTCTTCCTTCACATCCAAACGAACGCAGTACAGTTTACCCATGAAATATCCCTGACATGGGTCCCATTACGTTCCTGCTTCTATCACCCTGGCTTAGCCTTGTGTTACCTAATGCTGATAACCCCTGGGTGTTATCAGTGTTCCAAAGATGGGCAAGCATGTCAGATGCCAGATCACTAGACTGACTCCCTAGCACCTGAAAGGCCAAAGTTGCCTTACACTGTACAATTCTCTGGGCAAATTCCATCCCAGGCTGTCTCTAGTTGGCAGATCTAAGTCTCACAGTGCAAGAAAGGACCCACAGAAATCCCTTCCATTCTCCTTCATTCTATTTTCCTTCCTTCCCCCAGTAAATGTGTATTGAATGTCTTTTCTGTGACAGACTCCGATGGTGGGGGTACCAAGGAACAAGACGCTGGTGGGGTTATAGATAAAGAAACAGGTAATAAATGTAAGGGGCCGGCACTGCATGCCATAGGGCACATGGAAGGACATGGAACCCAGTCCCCTGGGAGTGGGGGAAACACTTCTTGAGGAAGAGATGTCTAAGCTGAGACTTGAAGCATGAATGGGCTTTAGCTAGGCAAAGGGGGTGTGCGGGGGTGGGCAGGGGAAATAGTGTTTCAGTCTCAGAGGGGAAGAGCTCATTTGCTAGTAAGCCCAGAGGCAAAAGGAGGTATCAAGGTCAGTATCACTGATCATCAGGGAAATGCAAATCAAAACTACAATTGAGATACCATCTCATACCTGTCAGAATGGCTAAAATCAACAGCACACAAAACAACAGGTGTTGGCAAGGATGTGGAGAAAGGGGAACCCTCTTGCACTGCTGGTGGCAATGCAAACTGGTGCAGCCAGTATGGAGTATCGAGGTTCCTCAAAAAGTTAAAACTAGAATTGGGGTGCCTGGGTGGCTCAGTCAATGGAGCCTCCAACTCCTGATTTCAGCTCAGCTCACGATCTCATGGTTCACGGATATGAGCCCTGTGTTGGGCTCTGTGTCTCTCTGTCCCCTGCTCATGCTAGCTCTCTCTCTCTCAAAATAAATAAACTTAAAAAATATTTAAAAATGGAACTACCCTATGATCCAGCAATTGTACTACTGGGTATTTACCCAAAGATGCAAAAATACTGATGCACCCTGATGTTTATAGCAGCATTATCAATAATAACCAAATTATGGAAGGAGCTCAAATGCCCATCAGCTGATGAATGGATAAAGAAGAATTGGTGTGTACACACACACACACACACACACACACACACACACGGAATGTTACTCAGCTCTAAAAAAGAACGAAGTCTTGGGGTGCCTGAGTGGCTCAGTTGGTTGGGTGTCTGCCTTCGGCTCACGTCATGATCTTACAGCTTGTGGGTTTGAGCCCCGTGTTGGGCTCTGTGCTGACAGCTCAGAGCCTGGAGCCTGGTTCAGATTCTGTGTCTCCCTCTCTCTCCCTCTCTGCTCCTCCCCTGCTCACCCACCCTGTCTCTTTCTCTCTCTCAAATATAAATAAACATTAAAAAAAAATTAAAGAAGAAAAAAAGTGAAGTCTTGCCATTTGCAATGACGTGGATGGAGCTAGAGTACATTATGCTAATAAGTCAGTCAGAGAAAGACAAATACCATATGATTTCACTCATATGTGGAATTTAAGGACCAAAAGAAATGAACAAAGGAGAAAAAAAGAGAGAGGCAAACTAAGAAACAGGTTCTTAACTATAGAGAACTGATGGTAAACAGGCGGGATGCAGACAGGAGAATGCGTTAAATAGGTGATGGGCACTGAGAAGTGCACTCGACATCAGCACTGGGTGTTGTATGGAAGTGTTTAATCACTCTATTGTAAGCCTGAAATTAATATCACACTGAATGTTAACTGGAATTTAAATAAAAAGGTAAAGAAAAAAAGAGGAGGCATCAAGTTGGAGGAAGCCTGAGACACAAGAGGTGAGACTAGAGAGGTTGAGGGGGTGGGGTAGGAGGGACAGGATTGGGTTTGAGATAAAAAGAAGTCTACCTTCTGGGAGAGCTGTGTCAGCTATTTCTGTTTCCAGATTCTTCATCTACTCTGAAAGTAGTCCCAACATCCAGGTGTTGGGGGCCATAGTCTGGAGAGAAGTAATAAAATGAACTGATGCTTTTTTTCTAGTCAAGTCCTCAAAATAGAAATAAATGGTGTTTGGAAGGATTTAATTTTTCCACCTAATTTTATTAGAAGGTAGTGAACAATTTATAAAGACTTCTGGGAATTTGGGTGTTCAGGTTCTCCTGTGAACACAGGTGTATAGCTAGGGGGTTATCCTCCCCGACGTGTTTCCTCATTTGTAAAAAATAAGGAAGTTGGATTATGGGATGCAAGATACCTACCTTTTCATGATTTAGTATATTATATAGTGTGATGGTTAATTACATGTGTCATCTTGGCTGTGCTACAGTTCCCTGTTTGGTCAAACACCTGAGTCTAGATGTTGCTGTGAAGATAATTTATAGATGTAACTAACATTTAAGTCGTAGACTTTGAGCAGATTATCCTCCATTATGCGGGTGGGGCTCATCTAATCAGCTAACGGCAGAGTCCCTTCTGTCTCCAGATTACCTTTGGATACAAGACTACAACACTGACTCCTGCTGGAATTTCTAGTCTTTTAACCTGCACTACACATTTTAGACTTCCTAAACCCTACAATCCCTAAAAATTAAAAAAAAGCCTCTCTCTCTTTCCTCCCCCCTCTGTCTCTCTAATAAAAGAAATAAACACTTTGATACATGGGGTAAAGATAATTTATAGTGGCAACGTGGTCTCTTGATCATACAACTGAATCTGGCGTTGGGCAGTGTCAGGTTCAAAACCTACCTCCAGGGGCGCCTGACTGGCTCAGTTGGGAGAACATGTGACTGTTAATCTCAGAGTTGTGAGTTTGAGCCCCATGTTGGGTGTATAGATTACTTAAACAGTAAAATCTTTAAAACAAAACCCTCCTAGTTCCACTATTAACTGCATGGCTTTGAACATGTTACCCAACCCCTTTAGGTCTCAGATTTTTAAACTTAGAAGTGGGGATACTAAGAGTCCCTATTACCTCATTGGATTGTTTTAAGGATTAAATGAGATAATCCTTAGTAATTGTTTCCCATAGTGCCTGACACAGGGGAATGTTCACTACAAAGTAGCCATCCAACAGAAAGACATCAAAATGACTTTTCCTATTCTGGGAAAGGGTCTGAGGTATGGTCTACTAAGGGACAAAGTGGAATGAAATGACAATACTTTCACAACCTTGAATTGGTTGTTTTAGATGCTTCATGGTGCTAATGATACTTTCCCCTTTAGCTTTTGTAGCTGGTGTCCCCCTTTAGGGACAGAATGAACTATTCCCAACCACTAAAGTATAATAACCTTGAAGAGAGCCAAGTTAACAGTCTTCTTCAAAGTCTGCTCATTAGAATAGGGCTACCTCAAGATACTTGATTTAAAAACAACAACAAAAGATTCCATGGAAAAAGAAGCTGAGAAAATACCATATAGTATATAAAGCTCACAGAGATTCAGAAGACACATGAGCCCAGAGAAGGCTGAGAGGTCCTGAACTCAAGGACACTATTTAATTTGGTTTAACACAGAGGTGGCTTTGAGTGTAAGCTTTTTCAGAGGAATGACTGTTAGCATCCCATGGCATCTATGGAGCACAGCTGGGGAACACAGTTCAATGGGAAACATACTGAACTCAGATATGGAGATCTCAATTCACGTTTCAGCTAAAATCTTGTGATTGGAGACAAATCTCTGGGCCTCAGTTTCCCTACATATAAAATTAAGAGATTGGAAGGAATGATTTACCATCTAAAATGCTTTAAAGCTTTCCCTATAGACTTCCAATGGCAAATAGTGGACAGTGTATGAATTTTAGACCTCCACTTCCCTCTATTGTCAGCCAGAGAAACAGCAGTTAGTCAGCGGCTCTCTGGAGGTTAGTGGAGTGCAAGCAGCTCTCAGCTAATTTGGAGTCCTCAGGCTTCTCATCTGTTAGGCCGGTATAACAGTATCTTTTCTCTTTTTCTTATAGATATGTTTTGAGGACTCCCAAGTGAGGTAATGTAGAGAAACCACCAAGTCCTATTCTGATGTCGGTTTGGGGTTGTAATTATTATAAAATGAAGGGTTAGTCTAGGTAAGTGGATCTGATCCACAGGCAGCTCATTAGAATCATCTGGGAGCTCTTAGAAAATACTAATGTCTAGACCCCAACCTAGACCCGTTAACAAAAGTTAACGGGAAGGACTTGGACATCATGTCCTTTTGAAATTCCTGAGATGATTCTCCCCTGGAGCTGTGGTGAAAACCAATGGCCTCTCTAGATCCTTACTACCAAGGTGCAGTTGATAGATGGCCAGGCATGTTGGAAATGAAAAAATCCTCAGGACTAGAATCAGTGCTTCTCAAAATGTAACATGCTTATGCATTACCTGCAGGATTTAATTAATCTTCAGAAGATCAGAGTTTACAATCCCTCCTTTCAGCATCCCCTATCAACAACTCCTAAGCATTCTGTCTACGCACCTGATCCATGAACTGTACTTTATTATTATTTTTTTATGTTCATTTATTTTTGAGAGAGCAAGAGAGACACAGAGTGTCAGCGGGGAAGGGGCAGAGAGAGAGAGAGGGAGACACAGAATCTGAAGCAGGCTCCAGGCTCTGAGCTGTCAGCAGAGAGCCTGATGTGGGGCTCAAACTCATGAACCACAAGATCATGACCTGAGCTGAAGTCGGAGGCTTAACCAATTGAGCCACTCAGGCGCCCCTGAACTGTACTTTAAATAGCCACATGGAGTGTAATTGCTGAACTTCCTAGAAAAGGGCAACCATAGCTTACACAGGTGCTGTTAACATTGGAATTTTCCACCTGAAATGTGCAATAATATTTGGATCTCCCTCTGCCTTCTAAGGACATTCGAGTTATTTTTATTTCTCCTGTTTGAAATGAATACATACTTCCTTTCCAGATTTGCTTCTCTCTATTCTTTCTATTTTCTCCCCCTGCTGCATGTTTGGGAGGATGATCTTTCCTGATTCCTAAACTGGTGGATTGGACAGATCTTGTCACAGTCAAAGGCATATGGGACATGAGGGAGGTTCCATGACTTGAAGGATTGATTTTTTTGTGTGGATGATGGTTGAGAGTGAAAACTAAGTTTCAGGCATAGCTGTCTTCCGTAATAAACTTCTGAACCTTTAAAAGGGTTTTGAGTAAAAGATTATGTTTAGGGTGGAGTACTTCTTGTTTTTTGGAGTTGTGGTGATTACTGGGGAAGGGGGTGAGAATTGGTGGTTACTGGGGAAGGGGGTGAGAATTCTGAGTTCTTTTATGGTTATTCAAATTTTCAAAGTTCCTATTTTCCACCACTTTATGGAGAGTATGTTTATTTCTAGGGTGCTAGCATCAGCAGAGAGCAGTCACCCCTGGTTTATTTTCCACCCCCAAATAGAAGACAATCCCAGAACAATGAAAGTCTCCTTGTTCCCAACTCTGGCAAGATTGCCTCTTGCTTCTTTTTTGTCAATAAATTATAAAGGAGCCAAACCAACATAAATACCACAAAAGGCAACACAGTGTATCAAATGAATTCTTTTCCTTGAGGGTGGCCTTGATGACTTCTGAGGTTTTGCATGAGATGAGCTTAGACCTTGCTTTTCTGAAATACCTTTTTCTCTGAGCAGCTTTATGTCTGAACTATGCTTTAATGTTTCTATAGCAACCTCGGTGGAAAACGTCAATAGCATCTCCAATCTAGTGATACCAGAACATCACTATAACCAGCTCATGTTGTCATGTAGAGTATTCATGAGCTGCTCTTCCCCCAACCCCTGCTCTTCCTTTTCAAGGATAAATTGAGACAAAATAAACTTAAATACAGATGATACCATTGGGTTAGAGATCAGGAAGAACTTCCAGTGATGGAATGTAGGAGTAGAAGGAGTTCTGAACTTACCTTTTTGTTTGTATGTTAAAGTAGGTGTATCTAGGGGCACCTGGGTGGCACAGTCAGTTAAGCATCTGACTTAGGCCTAGGTCATGATCTCGCTGTTTCCTAGTTCAAGTCCGCTTTGGACTCTGTGCTGACAGCTCAGAGCCTGGAGCCTGTTTCAGATTCTCTCTCTCTCTCTCTCTCTCTCTGCCCCCCCACCCCTCCTCTGCTCACACTCTGTCTCTTTTAAAAATAAACAAAAAAATTTTTTAAAAAATAAAGTAGGTGTATCTAACCTCTTTCAATTAATAGAATGCTGTCCAAAGATTTCTGGTGATTAAGAAATCACTTCACAATCTTGCTGAAGCAATATCTGGGCCAGAATTTTAATGCAATGCATACTCTTTTAAAATTTCTATTCTTGGGGTGCCTCGGTGGCTCAGTTGGTTAAATGTCCATCTCTTGATTTTGGCTCAGATCATGATATCACAGTTCATGAGGTCGGGCTCTGCGCTGACAGTGCAGAGCCTGCTTGGGATTCTCTCTTTCCCTCTCTCTCTGCCCCCCCACCCATTCTCTCTCAAAATAAATAAGGTTACAAAATTTACTCATTTTAAGAGAGAGAGAGAGAGAGGGAGAGAATCCCAAGCAGCCTCTGCACTCTGTGCTAAGCCCCATGCAGGGCTCGATCCTCCAAACTGTGAGATCATGACCTGAGCTGAAGTTGGATGCTTAACCAACCAAGCCACTTAGGTGCCTCCTAAATAAATAAACATTTTTTTAAATGAAAGAAAAAAAACCCACCTCATTTTAAAAATGTTTATTTTTTGAGAGAGAGAGAGAGAGACAGAGCGAGAGAGAGCACATGTAGATGCAATCAAGGGAGGGGCAGGGAGAGAGAGGGAGAGTGAGAATCCCAAGCAGGTTCTGTGCTGTCTGCACATGATCTGTGAGATCATGACTTGAGCCAAAATCAGAAGTCAGATCCTCAACCGACTGAGCCACCCAGGAGCCCCGTAGGTGACATACAATATTATATTAATTTCAGGTGTACAACATAGTGATTTGAAAGTTCTATATTTTCTGAAATGCTCACCATGATAAGCATAGTTACCATCCGTCACCAAAGTTATTACATTATAATTGAGAACACAGTAAGTTCTAATTTTTTATTTTTGTTTTTTTAAGTTTATTTTTTTAGTAATCTCTATATCTAATGTGGGGCTTGAACTCATGACTCAGAAGATCAAGAGTCAGATGCTCTTCTGACTGAGTTAGCCAGGTGTCCCCTCCATAATAAGTTTTTAAAGACATTCTGTGCTCACTGTGCTAGATTCCATGGGAGCGTATAAAAGATATACAGTAGTCCTTGAAGTAAGGGAGTTAGACTTTTATAGTTCTAAGAAAAAGAGGAAAGGAGAGTGAGGTTGAGTCTTTATATCACAACTGTGTGCCAGAAGTCTTATGGAGCACATCAGATGATTGTATTTTCAGTGTAAGATAGGAAAACGGGTGGGACTGCTTTACAAGAAAGCATGAGCTGGAGCCATCCATGGATGCACTGTGCCCGCCAGGCCTTGGAGTTGCCCGGGCGGGTCTCCTCCTGCTGAGATCAATCTTGTCTTGTTATTCCAGAGTGCTGGGTACTCTCATTTCCCATGAGTGCCATGACATGAAACAGGTTGGGAGGTGCTGCCAAATGGGTTTATGTGAGAATCTGGAAGACCGGGAGCTCCTGGCTGTCTTGTCCATGTCTTCCCGACACACTTAAAGGCATTGTGTATGTATTTATTTTTGAATTCTGAGGGTAGTGTGTTGTTCCGGAAGCAGCAGCAAGACAGTGAGGGGAGGTGGGAGTGATGAACTGTATCAGATGAGGTGCGTGGAGCCTGACGATTGGACTTAGTTACATGAGGATCACAGACAACCTTGAGAGGTCATTTGGTGAAGTGGTAGTGGTGAAGGCCTTGTGGAGCGGATGAGCAAGTGAATGGAGGACTTTGGAGACAGCGCCACAGAGAAGTCTATAGAGCTTTGCTACAGAAATCCATCAGGAAACTGGATTAGGATGTGGGGCAAGAGGTCTTTTTTGTTTTATTTTTTTCTTAGAAAAGCAGAAGGATAGCATGTTTACATGCTACTGTGAATGATCCATTGGGACGTAAAAACTGATGTGCAGGAGAGAGGGCACAGTTGCTGGAGAGGGCAGTTGCTGGAGAGATGTCCTTGAGTAGGTGAGTGGGGAGTGGACTCGGTGCACTAATAGAGGCCCGGGCTTCACAAGGGAGCAGAGACCTCTTTGTACTAATGGGAGGGGACACGGCAGGGTAGACGGGCACTGATACAGGTAGTCTGTGAGTAATGGCAGTGGAAATTCTTTTCTGATTGCTTCCATTTCACTGTGAAGTAGAAAGCAAGGTCAGCAGTTGCAAGTGGAGGTGGAGGCAGAGAGGAGGGGGCAAGTCATGAATCTTGTATGTTGGGAATTTGCCCCATTCATTTTCAGTTGTTCTGTGACTCCAGCTCTAGAGGCCCAGGCACCGCGCACTGTTGTGACCTCACAGGAGGTTCACTTGCCCTTACCTTCCCACCAGGTTGCAGGCTGAGGATTCTGGGCTGAAAGGGGAATTCTTGCCCAGATCCCTCCCGCTGCAGTGTTGGAGCACCCTCCACAGTGGCTGCAGCTGTTCGAGAACACCTACTAGATGTTTTCGAACAGCCAAAACATCTAGATACCAAGACTAAAACGTTTTGGAAGCGACCTTATCAATGTTCTCCAGTTTATACTGTTTATAGACTAAGCACCAGAAGTCAACAAAACTAGAAAATCTGCCTGCAAAGAGAAGAACCAGGAAGATGCCGTGTGATCTTTGAAGTTCCTTAGAGCCTTCATTTGTAAAACAGAGCCAATACTAGTACAACCTCATAAGGCTGCAGTGAGATTTACATCAAGTGTTGTGTGGGACGTACTCAGAACAGTGCTCTGCATCACTGTTTAAGATTGTTTCTTTCCAGTTTATAATCCTTCAGTGGTTCCCTCTATTTGGAAAGCTCCCATATCCCAATTATTAAATGAGGCAAACTCCTCATCAGGCCTTTGCTCAAGGGTGTATTTCTCATGAGGCCTTGAGCTACTCATTTAGGTCTAGTTTCTTTCTTCCTTTGGGCCTTCACCTTGAACCTTCCACTGCACTCAGGACTCTAGTGCAATCATCTGTTTATAGGGTTATCCTTCCTGCAGAAAGCAAGCAACTCAGGGAGCCTGGGTGGCTCAGTCAGTTAAGTGTCTCACTTCAGCTCAGGTCTCATGGTTTGTGAGTTTGAGCCCTGTGTTGGGCTTTCTGCTTACAGCTCAACGCCTGGAGGTTGCTTCAGATTCTCACTCTCTCTCTCTCTCTGCCTCTCCCCTGCTTGCACTCTGTCTCCCTCTCTCAACATTAAATAAACATTAAAAAAAAGAGAGAGAGAGCTTCTTGAGGGCAAGTATTTTTTTTTTTTTTTAAAAATATCTTCAGTTTGAAGCAGTGTGGTGGGCACAGGGAATATAATTAGAAGCAATGAACAGTGTTAAATATATATGGATATAGGAAAGGACTAGAAGGGGGAAAATAATGATTTTGCCCTGTTGATTGGATGATGGGAGTTTTAGCCCTTGGTTATTTTATGTGGTTTCTGTAATACAAAGTTAAAAATGGCTGCCATGTATCCATATGACCAATTGCCCTTCTTCCCCCTTGGTTAAAAGAATAGACTGGATAAATAAAATGGGCTACCACTTAGCAATAAAAAGGAATATGATTATTCAATCATGGATAATTCTCAAAAACTAAAGGAGTGATGACACACACACTGAATAGTGTAGTGAGTCCACCTGAGTTAAAATGCCAGTTGTACCACTTAAGGCAAGTTGTTTAACCTCTAGGGCTGCTGCTTATCTGCAACATAAGAACAGAAGTACCTACCTAAAAGGACTGCCAGGAGAATTAAACACTCAGTAAAAAAAAAAAAAAAAAAAAAAAGTAGTCATTTCTACAGAGTTCTCTCAAGGACTTCGGAGACCTTCCACCCATCACCAGTTTTGCACTGTGCTCTCTATCCCAGCGCCTGGAGTCCACACCTCTCACCGGAGACCACCCCACCTTCTCCATCCCTCCTCCTGAACCCTGAAGTCAGAACAATTTTAATAAACACATTCATGCTTGATAATTAAGAGACTAAGTGGGGAAAAATTAACTCACGGGGAGTCTCACAGTTAATTAACCTCTGCTTACATTCTAGTATATACTTTTTAGGCTTTTTTTTAAATGCAAATACGCTCACATTCGTAATTTTCTTTTTACAAAAACGAGTTCCAACGACAAAAACTGTTTAACCCATCCATTTACCTCTACTTTATAACTCGTCTTTAAGCCACGGTCCCTTCCCCAGACCCACTAGGTGCCCCTCTTCCCGCTCCCACGGTCGGGCCTTTCCTCTAAAGTCCCAGCCTTCCGGGGCCCCGGTTCCGGCCCCACCTGCCAGGCCCGGGGCCGCCCCGCCCCCGCCGCGGCCGGCTTCCATCCCCGGCCCCGCACCCCGCGCTCGCCGCCGCCGGGGGCCCGTCGCTCGCGGCTCCTGCGAGCGACCTGTTTCCGGTGAGGCAAGGGCGTCTCCGCCGCGGCCCTGCTCCCGAACGCGCAGGATAGCCGGCGGCGGCCAGATGCAGGCGGAGCGAGGGGCCAGGGGCGGCCGCGGACGCCGGCCGGGCCGCGACCGGCCCGGCGGGGACCGCGACCGCGAGCGGGCGGGCGCCGCAGCGACGGTGGCAAGAGGCGGCGGCGGGGACGGAGGCGGCCGCCGGGGTCGCGGTCGGGGTTTCCGCGGCGGCCGAGGAGGCCGAGGAGGAGGCGGCCGGCGGGAGCCAGGAGGCCGGGGCGCCGGGGCTAGAGCGCCGGTAAGAGGCGGCGGCCGGTGGGGTCCGGGCCGCTATCGCGTGGGACGGGGTCTGATGCCGCCCCTGCCGCGAGACCGGAGCCGAGAGCGGCTTGCTGGGCGCTCGCGAGCAGGGCGGCGGCGGCACCTGCGCCTGCGCGGGACGGGCGGCGGGCGGCGGGCGGCGGGCGGCGGGGGCGCGCGCCGGATGCGCACGTGGCGCGTCGGGGGGTGAGCCGCCAGCTGTCTCCCTGCCGGGGTGGCGCGGGAGTGGCGGCTCGTGGGGCTTCTCCAGCCAGCCCAAGTGGTCCGGGCCGGAATGGCTAAGAACGCCGGGGCCGAGGCTGTGTGTCGCGGCTGCAAGGCTAGCGGGCCTGTTGGTTTCGGGCGGAGTGTCAGTGTGATTGACCCTTGTAGGGTAGGGGTGCGGCCCGCACTTGGTCTGCGGGAGCTGAGACTTGGGCAGTCTTACAGTTCCTGTCGTTAGGAGGGAAGGGATATTTTTGGCCTCGTGTTCATTGTGCAAGGCCTAGCACACGGTAGGATAGTAAAGGTTTACTGAAAGAATGCCCACCACGTACTGGACTCTAGTATTTGGAAGTAGGATCAGATGCATAGTTCTCTCTCTTTTTTTAATAGCATCGTTCTTTTATTACCCAAGTGTAGGAATGAGGGGTCCCTGGCTTTCGTATTTAAAAATGTTTAAATAGGAAATGTTTCAGCAGTCATGTCTGAATTTTAATAGAAATGTGATCGGCCTTATTCACGCGGACACTTAACAGCTTGGAGCAAGACATGATGGGGGTCAGACTTGCTCCACTGATCTCCCTGCCAAAGGAGTTTGAGTACAGTGATTTTAGGAGCTGTTATTTTAACATTTGTACTACAAAACTTCCATGTGTGGCACAGGGCCTGGGGCATCACTGATCCTTGCATGCCTGCCACTATCACCACTATCATATTTTCCGTCAAAACTATATATTTTGAATTATTGTGTGCATAGATAAAAATTTTTTTTTTGGTTGAGGCAAAATTTCTTGTTCCTGAAATGCTTGGAGTATAGTACGTAGGATGTCTCTGAAGATAGTAATTGTATACCGAAATACAGAGCTTGAAAAAAGTGTTAGACAATTTAAAAGTAAGTGTAGGGGCGTCCGGGTGGCTCAGTCGCTTAAGCATCCGACTTCGGTTCAGGTCATGATATCACAGTTCGTGGGTTCGAGCCTCGCGTCTGGCTCTGTGCTGACTGCTAGCTCAGAGCCTTGAGCCTGTTTCAGATTCTGTGTCTCCCTCTCTCTGACCCTCCCCCTGCTCTCTCTCTCTCTCTCTCCCAGAAATAAATAAAACATTAAAAAAAATTAAGTGTAACATACTTAACCCGGTTAGGATTAAAGTACAAAATAAGTAAAATTTGATGGCGATATGAAGAAATTCTTAGGTTCAGTTAGCAGGAAGTGATGGAAACTTTGATCAATCTAGTGTACACTATATAACACATTTTGACCTCATAACAGATTTATACAATCGACTCCTGAAGAACACGAGTTTGTGGGTCCACTTACATGGAGATTTTAAAAATTTTAATAAATCCAGTATAGTGCTGTTAATGTATTGTTTCTTCATACTTTTCTTTAAAAAAATTTTTTTAATGGTTATTTAACATTAAATAAAAAGGAGACACAGAATTCAAAGCAGGCTCCAGGCTCTGAACTGTCAGCATAGAGCCTGATGCGGGGCTCAAACTCACAAACTGCGAGATTATGACCTGAGCCTGCTTAACTGACTGAACCACACTGGTGCCCCTATTGTCTCTTCATTATTTTCTTAACATTTCTTTTCTCTAGCTTATTTTATTTTAAGAATACAATATCAAATACATATAACATACAGATTATGTGTTAATTGACTGTTTATGTTATTGGTAAGGCTTCCAGTCCACAGTAGCCGATTAGTGGTTAAGTTTCGGGGGAATCAAAAGTTATATATATGTGGATTTTTCTACAACACTCTTATCCTAGGATGTGTATAATGATCAGTTGTATATATATATTGCACATATATATGTAGTATAACTTTGTTAAAACTTATTTATTATAACTTTTTCTTAAATTTTTATTTTTTTTTAGAGAGAGAGCATGCATGAGTGGGGAAGAGGTGCAGAAGGAGAGAGAGAGAATCTTACGCAGGCTCCACACTCAGCACAGAGCCCAGTGCAATGCTCAATCCCATGGCCCTGGGATCATGACCTGAGCCAAAATCAAAAGTTGGATGCTAAACCGACTGAGCCACTCAGGCACCCCACAACTTTATTTCTTAAACAACTTAAAGTTGTTTATAACAACTTCATTTTATATCTATTATATATATAAATTCTTTATTTTTACAAGTTAATTGACTTGCCCAAGCTTTTATAGCTAGTGACAGAGTTGGGATTTATACTAAGCTGCTCTTGCTTCAACTCTGTCTTATTTCTTAGAGTTTTGTGAACTAGTCACTACTTTACTGAGAGCGAGGTACATAGATGCTCCTTGGCTGCAGGGATCATGTTTTAATAGTAATTGTAGTAATGGTACCTTTGGTACTTACTAAAGTGTCTGACACATAGGCCTTTAATAACAAGTGTCTTTAACTTGATGAATTGAGTGAATGAAGGTGCTTCTATCTTACTCATCTTTATGGTACTAAATTGAGTAAAATGATGCTCTATTGTTTCGAGAATAATACATTTTTTGATTTATGCTAATATTGTAACCAATTCTTTTAAAATTTTAGGCTTTGATCCCTTTTTGGGATCCTCTTAAAAATCCCATCTTATATATTGTTTTGGGATTTTTTTCCTTGCACAGTTTAAAGATTCCGTGTGTTAGCATCACTGATCCCTGCAGCCACCAGCACTCGTGCTGCTGTTACCACTGTCATTTTCAGTCAGACCTGGATGAAGAGATGTTGGAAGGATTATTTCTTCATTTTGGTTTCGTTTGTGACCTCTAGGTTCCTTCCACTTCTTAGATTCTGAAGTACTGTTCATCTTTAGCCTTGCTAAGAATACCATTCTTGGTGCCTAAAGATTAATGGGGACAAGATTGATTGCTCTGCCTGAGGCCACCTTGCTCTCCTATTCCATGTTGATTTGTGCCCCTAATGGAGAGTAATTAAAATGATCAGAAAGAAAAAAATTCATAATAGAAGTTTAGCTGTATAAGGATCAGTTAGTTACCTGACTCCAGAACTTAATATTGTTTATGCCTTTCACTTCCTTCTTTATTTATTTTTTTAAGTTTATTTATTTTTGAGGGGCGCCTGGGTGGCTTAGTCGGTTAAGCGTCCGACTTTCGCTTAGGTCATGATCTCACGTTCGTGGGTTCGAGCCCCGCATCGGGCTCTGTGCTGACTGCCGGCTCGGAGCCTGGAGCCTGTTTCAGTCTGTGACTCCCTCTCTCTCTGACCCTCCCCTGCTCACACTGTCTCTCTCTCTCTCTCTCCTAGAAATAATAAATTAAAAAAAAAATTAAAAAAAAGTTTATTTATTTTTGAGAGAGAGTGTGTGCGAGTGGGGGAGGGGCAGAGAGAGATGAGACAGAGAATCACAAGCCAGCTCCTGGCTGTTAGCTCAGAGTCCCATGCAGGGCCCAAACTCACAAACTGTGATCAGGATCAGGACGTGAGCCTAAGAGTCAGATGCTTAAGTAATTGAGCCATGGAGGTAGGTGTCCCTGCTTTCTACTTTAGATCACTACATACACATGGCTTGTAAATGGAAAGCAAGAGAAAATAAGACTAAACAACTACTAAACAAGCATTTCTCCAAGGTAACTTCGCTGAGCACATTGTGTCTGCTAGTTTCTTGCACTTAAATCATTCCCTGAGTAGATCGTATGAACCCTAAGTTTACGGAGTTTGGGTAAGCATATCATAAGGCTAATTATTTCCATTGAATATCCACTAGAAGCATGACATTGCATGGGATGTAGTTTTTTTAACGTAAAAGACATACTAGGATTTGTTAGTATTATACTTATCTTTTTTATTAGCTTTTTAAGTATTTTATTTTTGAGAGAGAGAGAGAGAGAGAGTGAGTGAGCAAGGGAGGGGCAGATAGAGAGGAAGACACAGAATCCGAAGCAGGCTCCAGGCTCTGAGCTGTCAGCACAGAGCCCAATGTGGGCTCCCATACTCGCGAACTGTGAGATCATGACCTGAGCCGAAGTTGGCACTTAACAGAATGAGCCACGCATCCCATATACTTATCTTTTTGATGAACTACTAGCAGAGAGGAAGTCAAGGCCTATACGCAGTCCTTGGGTTTTTTTTTTTTTTTTTCTTTTTTCCTCCCTGTGATAACCATAGTAGTTCATATTTATTGAGCATTTTAGCATCAGATAAGAAAACTAAGGTACTGTTAAATAACTCACAGTCAGGAGAGGTTAACTAACTTATCCATTATCATGGAACCAGAAAATTACAGAGCCTGGATTCAACCCTAGCATTTTGGTTCCCAGAACTGTTTTTTCAACTATGTCCCTAAACTGCCTCTAGAGTGATTTGAGATTTGAAAGGTGAAGTGTGACAGACTGTTTGTTGTATGATCCTTTCACACACTTTTGTTTTCCTGATGTTCCAAAATGATGATCAGGATTTAAGGTAACACCAATACCATTATCAGTTATTGTGGATGTCAGCAGATCTTTGCTTTCTTGCTCCATGTTCATATGGAAGCTGCCTTTAATCATTTTAAAATTATTTATGTCCAATGAAAGATAAGGCAGCTGTTTAGAGCTGCATTGCGGAGAGTAAGAACATGGAGGTATTTTCTTTTTCCTATCAAACTTTTGCTTTGTGAACAATAATATAAATCCTTTGCCTGAATAATAATTAATCCTAGATGCCCTTGACATTTTCATTGCTACTATTTCAGTAAAAGGGATATCTCTGACTTCGATGTTCAAGTTTACCTACTGTGAACCTGGAAGAAGAAAAGTGGTCAAATCCAAGTTGCTGGCAGGTTTCTAAAGCACTTGCTCC